AGAAAGGAAAGGTCAGATAAGAATAGTAGTTGGAGATGCTGCTGCGACAGGCAAGCGATTGTTTCTTAGTGCATAGTAGCTGCACTATGGAGTAGTCTTGGAGTAGCTTTTACTCTTTACATACAAAGTGTTGAGGACCTGAGGTCCTAGTTGCTTTGGATACTTTTTCATGGGATGAATCAGTCATAGACAAAAGCTTTTTTCCTCTATAGTACTTCTATAATTTTTGAAAATTGAAATGCAAAGAAGAAACGAGTCCCTTTCTTGCCAATTCCCCTCAATAGAACAGGTGTAGTCTCAGATTGGGGCTTTAACCGAAATTTTTCCTTACAATACAATGGATCTGGGAGAGTTATGGTAACAAGAATTACTGGATCTATTTGCATTTCCCAACAGGGAGAGGGGTTTAAGGTAGGGCAGTCAAAGTGTCAGGAGACATGGATTTCTAAGGAGGTCGCCCGTCGGGAGGGTACATGGACCTGTGCTAATGTCTCATACAACAGGTTTGATAATTGTAGCTGCCTGTTGGGTAAGGAGTGGATTTCTGCCTGGGGCGTTAATTGTACTCACTACCGAAACGGTACCATGGTACGTGGGAGTACAACAAGGAGCTCCCTAACCCTAGCTTTAATGGGCTCCCGCGCCACCACCACAACTGAAGCCTGTGGGCTATGGTGGATCTGTGGGTGATGGGCATATAGACAGCTCCCCCGCAATTGGACTGGGACTTGTTATTTGGGAGCTTTGATTCCGGGTGTTTGGATAACACAACCTAACCCTCCTGGCATTTAGACCCCACAATCCCACACGCATCGCATCAAACGCAGCACTGATAACTTCTTTGAGAAGATAGCCGCAGGAGGGGGCCAACGATGGGGTAATGATGAATGGCCGGCAGAAAGAATCATTCAATACTATGGCCCAGCAACTTGGGAACCAAATGTGGTTGGCAGAGAGCCCACATACTTAACAAACCGCATTATTAGACTCCAGGCCGTAGTAGAGGTAGTTACCAACAAAACTGCCGCCGCCCTGCGTCTGATCGGCAACCAGCTCACCCAGCTACGTACTACGGTACTGCAGAACCGCTTAGCTCTTGACTATTTACTTGCTAGTGAAGGAGGGGTGTGCAAGAAGTTAAATTTGTCCAATTGTTGCGTTGAAATTGATGATAATGGTGAACTGATAAAGACCTTAGCAGATGATATGGAGAAGGTAGCGCATGTCCCTGTCCAAACATGGAATGGGTGGAACTTTGATTGGTTTACATCCTGGCTTCCCCAGATTGGATGGTTAAGGGGTGCTTTGGTGGCCTTTTGCCTACTGATGTCGGTGCTTTGTTTACTTCCCTGTATTATACCCTGCATCATGGCCCTTTTAAGACGAACTGTTCAGTCAGTTGTCAACCACGAAATGCTTGTGCATTACCAAAAGCTAGCCATCGCTGACAATTATTGAAATTAGAGTTAGAAAGCATCTTGAGGGGGGAATTGTAGTAAAAAATACGCTAGAACTTAAACATAATGCCTTTTTGCAAATGCTTTTGTATTCAGCATGCTTTGCAATAGCTTCTGCATACAGATTGAGGCCTGCTCTGCACATAAAATTTCGTAACCATACTTATTCAGCGCCTTAGACAAGGGGTTACTAGGAGGCATTAGGTTTGCCGCAGTTCTGCTTTTGGACTGCGCATGCGACAGGGCCTTTGCCGCAGTTCTGCTTTTGGACTGCGCATGTGACAGGGCCTTTGCTGCAGTTCTGCTTTTGGACTGCGCATGCGACAGGGCCTTTTGCCGCAGTTCTGCTTTTTGACTACGCATGTGGTAAAACTTGATAAGAAACACTAACCAATAACCAACTAAGCTCGACCTGCAAGATAAGACGTAACAATAAGGAAATTGTAATGTCGCCAATAGTTGCAGGACACGCTGAAACCCTCTGTTTATGTAAAGCTATAAAAGTGGAACCTTGGACACACTCGGGGTCGGCTCTGCTTTGGGCGACTCAGCCCCTTTGTCGATCTGTTTGCACAAACAATAAACTCGAGATGGACCCATCCTGCGTGTGACTCTCTCCTTGAGGTAAATTGGGCAAGCCTCCAGGGGCACGAAACTAGCCATTTGTGCAACAAACGTGTTTATGTTTACACCCTCTGTATTATTCCCGGAATTTCAAGAGACTGCCATGTTATCTCATCTTTTTTTCCAAAAACCAGCCACTGGAAATTTCAGCGCACATTATAAGCGAGAAATGCCATAACAGCAATTTCTGCCTTACTGGATGAAAGAAAAACTAAAACCTGCATGTGACTCATAGGGAGCAGAGCAATGAACAGACTCAGCTCCTAGCTGCCACTACTCAAATACTTACAACAAGGAAAGATTTTTTTTTTGTAATCCTGTCTTGCAAAAATGAGGTGTACATTTTATTCTGAGGCATGCTGTATGCAAAAAGTGTGGAATTTAAACACCAATGGTTTTATATTACACAGGTCTTAGATACTCACAAATAGCATTTGATGTTATATACAGGGGTTAATTTTTTGCTAAAGTTACAGGTCTGCTGACTTCCAGAAATGTTGCCAATTTATACCAGTAGGAAACTTGGTCCACCTTGTGTACCATAGTTACGGTTTATATAAACATAAAGACTGGGAAAGGGATGAATACAGTAGAACTAAGATATGCCCATAACTAGAATATTCCTCAGCAATGTAAGAAGCACATCAATGCTAACTACAGCAACAAGAAATCAGGGAGAAAAAAGTAGGACACATTTTGTTTATTATTTTTTATAACTACAAGCAGCCAAAATTGTATATAGCGGGATAAAAAAAGTCTGTTTTGTTTATAATACATGCAACATGTAATGTGGCACTCGGACACCTCCCTGGTCCCCGTGCTGCAATCTACCCAAACATGCATGCTGACCTGGGAATCTGCAGTGCTCACTCCTCAGAAGACATCTGACCTACAGGCAGGATCAGTCAGTATTGAGAGCCCTCCCCTTTCTGAGCCTGCTTCCCCTCTTTTAAAGCAATTCTCTCAGCTTGACAGTGGCTGTAAGTAGACTAGGGTGGGGCCAACCCAGCCCAGCAGCTTTCTTCCTCTTCCTCACCAGGGGCTAGCTCAGGAGTCAGCAATGTTTTTGGGCCGAGTACCAAAAAACCCACAACCTGGACTTGGAAGATGTTGGTGTGCAAGGGGCAGATGGCAGAGGAGCCACAAGGGGCCCAATCCTTGTGGCAGAGCAGCCCCGGTCCCTTCCCTGCCATGCTCCCTAAAGCGCTCTTGCAACCACTGCCAGCAATGAGCCAGGTTGCGGCTCCAGAGCCTGGTGCAGTCGCTTGCAGCCTCGTAGCTGTTTGCTGCAAGCAGCATGGGCAGGCCCCTACTGCCCTCCACGAAGCCTGGGCTGTTTGTAGCAGGCAGCCGCAAGCCCAGCCCACCTCGTTGCTAGCAGCTGCTGCACACACTTGGGGAGCACAGTGGGAATGGGGCTGGGATGTACTGCCTCCGGCCCCTTTCCCTCTGTGAGCCCCAAAGACACATATGCAGCTACCACTACCACAGAGCCCAGGCTGCTCACAGCAGGCAGTGCGCAGACTGCAAACAGCTGCACCAGGGCCCAGCTCCATGGCAGCAATTGCTGCACACATGCCCGGGGTGCACGACACACAAGGGGCCAGGATTGCACTGCCCCAGCCCCTTCCCCGCCATATGCCCCAGGGTACGCATGCAGCCACCACCTGCCATGGAACCGGGCCAGGGCTCTGGACCCCAGTGCACCAGCTGCAGCTTCCCAGCTGCCTGCCACATCTGGCTGGGACTGTGGGCAACTGCTGCCTGCCACAGAGCCCCAGGTGCTTGCAGCAGGGCTTGCAGCCTCTCTGCTGCCTGCTGCGAGCAGCCCAATTCCATGGCCAGCAGCAGCTGCCCGCAGCCCAGATTGGCTATGGCATGCCAAACTAAACAGCCTCAACTGCCATGCTCTGGCACGAGTGCCAGGGGTTGCCAACCCTTGAGGTAGCTAGTCCACACCATCACAATGCAAAAAATACACACGAAGATGACATTGTAGCATGCAGCATAAATAATATTTTGTGGACTGGAGATTAAAGGCAGGGAATGGATATGATCCTGTGTACTAATTACCAGGAATCCTGGTTTTCCTGTGATAAAAAAATTGCAAATTTTCTAATAAAACCCCCCAAATTCATTATTAAAATGAAAGCCCCCCCCCCCCCCCCCCCAGTCCTGCTGGACAGATCTGTGCATGGGGTGGGCATGGGCTGCCCCTCACTTGCCACCCACAGCCCCTGGCCCTGCTCTGCCACTCACTCCTCCCTCCCTCACAGCTCCCACAGGCTTGCTGGTACCTCTGGCCCCCCGACCTACAGTCCCTGCTCCCCCAGCCCTGCCAAAGGGCCCCCCCACCAACTGCCAGGACTATGAACCCAGGCCTGCAGCCACCTGCCCAAGCTCTCCCCTGCTGCCTGCTCAGGAAGTGGAGCAGCTCCCTGTCACCGTGTGCACTCCCAAGGGGCAGTGGGTCCCTTGCCCCACAGATCTGTATGCGAAGCAGGCACAGGCTGCAGGTTCCCACCCTACTTCCCTCCCTCAGGGCCTCCGGTGGGCAAGTTCCCTCTAAGGTGCGTACATGCACAGCCGTCCACAAAAAAAAACCTTGTCACACATTAGCTTTGTAATGCAGCGCACCAGCCCAGAGAAAAGCTGGGCTGCAGCTTCCTAGAAACCCGGAGTGCGGCAGAGGCACTGGGACTGGCAGTAAGTTACCGCTCAGCTGCGCTCCACTCCTCACCACGCCGGCATCCCTGCAGGGAGAGAAAGCAACGTGGGGCAAGCAGTGGCTCCTCCCCAAGGCAAAGCAGAGGTGGGGACAGGGGCTGGAGCTTTGGCTGGGGCTGAGCCAGGCAACATGCAGGCTCCGCTGGCTCTGGGGAACTGCTCTACTCCCCAACCCCTTCAAACAAGCTTTACCTTGAGCCCCGACGCCATGTGCCTCCTCGCTGCCTGGTCTGCCCAGTAGCAGGATGCACGAGACTCCACGCTGCTTTCAAAGGCTGAGGACACATGGAGGCAGTGTTGATCATTTTTGAAAAAGTGATTAAATCTGCCAGATAGGGCAAACCAGGCATACCTTCAATGTTTCACAGTACCTGAGAGCTTTACAGAGTATATTAAATGATGTGATTTATGTCTGTCACATGAAATCTTTTGCATGCTCTCTTCAGGTGGAGAATTATACATAAACTTTTCTGTTTTGGTAGGGTTTTGTATATTTTAATTTTTTTTAATAAAATATATAATATATATAGTTTAGTATTTCAAGAATCTTTTCTCCTAAATAATGTTGTGAGAATAATTTGCTACAGGGGAGGCAAGACCAATACAGGAACAGCCCAAAGTGGCGTGCTCACGGACCAAAGCGGCATGCTCACAGAGCACTAAGCCTTAGAGGGAACACTGCCGATGAGTGCGACCTGGCGCAGCAGGGAACAGCGGAGCCACATGGAGAAGCTGCTTGCCGCTGCTCGCTACGCACTGCTCTGGCGCCAAACCTCCTGACATGGGGCTGCAGTGAAGGCAGTGGCGCGTCAGCTGCTGGGTCATGCCCAGTGGGCTGCAGAGGCCCCAGAGGAGGGAAGCAGGGTGGAAGTCTGAGCGTGCAGTCTTTGCCCGCCCCATGCACAAATCTGAGGGGCACGGGTCCCCCCGGCCCCTTGGGAGTGCATGCAGCAGCAGGGAACCAGCCCTCCCCCTCCCCCGGATGAGCCACCCGCAGCGGACCCACCAGCAGTGGACCCACCCGCAGCGGAGCCTTGCTCCCCGCTGGGGCCCTGCATCCATGCATTGCAGCCCTAGACCCCAAGCCCCATGCACTGCCTAGCTGGGCAGCAGCCCCAGCCCTGCCCAGCAGCCGCAGCCCCCTCCCTCCCTACAAGGGCCTCAATCCCCCTCTCCCTTCCATTTACCTGCTGGAGCTGCTCTCCAGGTTGCCTGGGGCCATATGCATGTAGATCAGGGGTGGGCAAAATACAGCCTGCTGCAGGCCAGATCCAGCCCACGAGGCCATTCTATCCGGCCAGCAGGGCCCCTAAAAAAAATGTAGAAAATTAATATTTCTCTGCCTTTGGTTCCGGTCAAAAATGACAGGAACCAAGGGCAGTAGGTCCCAGGGGAAGCCCAGCAGGCTCCAACAACAGTGGGGTCTGCCTGGCCCTGCCCCCCAGCCAGAAGCCCCAGCCAACGTTTCTGGGCTGGGAGCATGTGGCTGCCCTGGCACAGGAAGCTCAGGTAAGTGGTGGGGGGGAGGGGGACCCCGTGCAAGGAAGAAGCATGGGGGCAGGGGGAAAGCGGCCCCTCCCCACCCACGCCCAGTGCCCCATGCTTCAGCTGCTCGCAGCCTGCGTGGGGCTGCCTGTGCCCGCTCCAGATAGCCCCATGTAGGCTGCGAGCGCCTGCAGCGTAGGGTGGGGGAGGGGTCGCTTCCCCCCCACGCTCAGCTTTTCCCTGGGCTCCTTCCCTGTGCGGAGAAAAGCAGCCCCTCGCCCACCCCCTGGCCAGCGCTCCCTGCTGCAGGCGCTCAGCCCACGCGGGGCTGTCCAAAGCAGGCACAGAAAGCCCCAAGCAGGCTACGAGCGGCTGCAGTGTGGGGCGCTGGGCATGGGGCGGGGAGGGGCTGCTTTCTTCCCCCCCACCCACGCTCAGCACCAGCTTGTAACCCGGCCCCAGTCAGGCGGGTTACAAGCTGGTGCTGAGAGCGGGGAAAAGTGGCCCCTCACTCGCCCACCCCACGGTCAGTGCCCCGCGCTGCAGCCACCTGAAGCCCACATGAGGCTGCCTGTGCCTGCTACAGACAGCCCTGCACGGGCCATGGGGCAGGCGAGGGGCCACTTTTCCCCACACTCAACACCAGCTTCTTCCCTGCTGGCGAGCAGGGGGTCAGGGTTACGCGCTGCCCCACACCTGTACCACGGGGTTGGGGGGCACTGGGTGTGAGTGGGCCGGGAGCCAGTGAGAGCACAGGGCCCGCACTGGTGTCCCGGGGCCAGTGCCGGTGGGGCCCAGAACAGGGGGGCAGGAGTGTGGGGTCCCAGCTGACAGGGGCTCTATGGAGCCGGGCCAGCTTCCCCTTCCCTGCTGGTGCAGCCCAGCCCAGCTCCACAGACCCCTGCCAGCCTGCACCCCGCTCTGGGCCCCCCAGTGCTGGCCCTGGGACATTGGTCCCAAGACATTGGGACGTTAGTCCCAAGATGGTGACCAGGGCGCGGGGGCACCTGTCAAGGGACGGGGCTACCCATGTGGTCCTCGACAGCCTGCCAAAACAGGGTAAGTGGCCCTTCACCCGAAATAATTGCCAGCCCCTGATGTAGATGCACATGGCGCCCCCTGCCTGACTACCCTCCTTCCGCTCCCTCACAGCTCCCTGCAGGCTGCAACTCTGCAAGCCTGCAGGGAGCTCATTACAAAACTGCAAATTCCACAGATTTCTCTGGTAAAACAAGAAATCCATGTTTGTCTCCAGTAAAAGGTAAAATCCGTGATTTACTCAATTTTTCCGTGGCAAACAGAAAACCTGGATCCCTGCTAATTACATACAAGGTACTGTACAACACAGCAAAATCCTCAATACTTATATTTACATACTAATGAGAGAAAACTCTAAACATCTACCAGTCATCCATTATCATGAATCTGAGATGAAATTCTGGCAGCCTTATGTCAACAGGAACTCTGTTAATGTTTTTAGCAGGACCACAATGTCATTCTTTCTTTTTATTGAACATTTTCAGCTTAGCTGCTCAACTCCAAGCACAATTTTTCAAGATTTTTACTGGGGGGTGGGAAACGACACGACACCCTTGATAAGAGGTTTAAAAAACCCTCAAGTAAACAAGAAATAGCAAGGTTTCTTAAAAACTTTACCAAAATTATAAGCACTCTCAAAGCAAAGCCATCTTTCTGTAATGTATTTGTATGCATCTGGTCCACAATTAGGGACATAAAATGCCACTGAGCTACGAACAACCAAAGGGATTTTCAACAGAACCTGGGCTCTAGTCTCAGTATCACTGTACAGGCAACACCCACTTAGCGCTCTTAATTGGTTCCAAATAAAATGAGCGTTAAGCGGAACCATGCTAAGCAAAACCCATTTTCCTATAGAAATGAATGTATATAAATGTAATTGGCTCCACCACTTGTTGTTGCTCCTCCCCACCTGCATTCTGGCACCACCTGACAGCTTGGACCCTGCACTCCTGCCACCTGGCCCTGCACTCCTGCCTTCCCGACAGCCCTGGCCCGGGCCGCGCATGCCTGCTGCTCTGTGCTCCAGCCCAGGCTCTGCACTCCTGCCGTTCTGCTGGCTCCTGCCCACCCCAACCCCTTCTCACCACCGCTGCCCCTCCCTGCGTGCCCACCGGCCGCTCCAGCACCACATGCCAGAGTGGACCCCGTGTTCCCACCACCCTGGGCCCCCACTGGCACACACTGTTTCACTCAACACCGCCAACACGACTTCTCCCTACCCCTGCACTCAGCATTATAGCGAAATGTGTTGAGCGCTAGATAAAACCAGGTAGGTATTTTAAATGAGTGCTATATTAAAACCGTGTTAAGCAGGGGTTGCCTGTATGTTACAGTTACTATCACTTCCATTTTCTGCTCTCTGCTGCTTACTTCTTGATCTTGTACAACAGGATTCAATCTATGGCTAGTGGGAAAGGTCCAGCCTGTGGAGCCACTGGATCCAGCTTTTGGAGCTAGAGCAGGGGTGGACAAAATACGGCCCGCAGGCCGAATGTGGCCTGCGAGGCCATTCTATCCGGCCTGTGGGGCCCCTAAAAAATTCAGAAAGTTAATATTTATCTGCCCTTGGTTCCTGTCAAAAATGACAAGAACCAAGTGCAGTAGGACCCAGGGGAAGCCTGGTGGGCTACCACAACAGCAGGGCCTGCTCAGTCCCACCCACCCAGCCGGAAGCCCCAGCTGGGGTTTCTGGCCTAGGACCACATGCTGCCCCAGTGGCACCAGAACCTCAGATAGGGCGGGGGGGAGGGCAGGGGAGGACCCAGGGCAGAGAAGGAGCCCAGGGAAAAATGAGCGTGCGCCCAATGCTCGCCCCACAGCCAGTGTCCCGTGCTGTAGCTGCTTGCAGCCAATGTGGGGCTGCCTGTGCCTGTTCCAACAGCCCCACGTGGGCTGTGAGTGCCTGCAGCAGGGATTGCCAGCCATGGGACGGGCAAGAGGCTGCTTTTTCCTGCGCTTAGCACCAGCTTCTTCCCTGCCAGCAAGCAGGGGGTCAGGGCTGTGCTCTGCCCCCTGCCTGTACCGTGGGGCTTGAGGGCACTGGGAGTGAGCAGGTGCGGGAGCCAGCGGGAACACGGGGCCGACGCCAGTGTCCTGGAGCCAGTGCCGGTGGGGCCCAGAGCAGGGGGTCCCAGCTAGCAAGGGCTCTATGGAGCTGGGCCAGCTTCCCCCTCTCCCTGCTGGTGCAGCCCAGCTGGCTCCACAGACCCCTGCCAGCCTGTGCCCTGCTTTGGGCCCCACTGGTGCTGGCCCTGGGACATTGGTCCCAGGATGGTGACCAGGGACCGGGGCACCTGTCAAGGGGCAGGGCTACCCATGCAGCCCTCAACAGCCTGCCACAACTGGGTAAGTGGCTCTCCGCCCGAAATAATTGCCCGCCCCTGAGCTAGAGACTTAGCAGCATTCAATGACAGAGGGCTTCACCTGTGCCATGCAGCAGCTGGGCAGTCAAGCTGCAGGGCCCTTTGCCTGTCACAACACAGTCAGAGAAGCAGAGAAGCAGATACAGTGGCTAGGTTCTAGCACTAACACCTCAGACCTGAGCGGGGCTATCCCAACCTGCCACCAGAAAACATTGCTCACCACTGATGTACAGCATCAGCATTGTAAGGGGCCTCGTATGGGTGCATAGTTACATCTGGTGTAGGAACAAAACGTGCAAACAAGAAATAAATCTGTGTTAAAGGTGTTCTTTGGAGGTTTTTTTGTTCTTTAACCCTTTTGGTTTACTTCATTTCTAAAACATTTT